GTACACTACTGTCGAGAGACATCTTTGCGGTACTTTATTCTGTACTGACAACGTTGAACGTCCCCTTTGAAAGGTAACTTGGAGACAAAACACGGTTGTACTACTGTACCGTACTGTACACTGCACAATGGTGCTTGACATACAGTACAGTACAGTACAGTACTGTACAGTACTGTACACTGTACAGTACATGTACTGTACAGTATTATACTGTACCGTACTCTGTACTCTACTGGACTCTACCATACTGTAGACTTGGTCCGGCCTTCTATCTGTACCGTATAACATCCATCCTTCTAGCGCGCTGGCAGCTTTTACTGTATGTATAGTACTGCGGTTGTTACGGCACAACATTGGCTTGAAAACGTTGAACAGGAGGAATCTGTTTGTGAAGAAAATTGTTTTCAACTAGCTGCATTCAACAAGGTAAGCAACATAAATATTCCTGTATTCCATTCTTTTAAAATAATCATCAATCATACAACCTACATTTTATAATGTTCCATTCAAAATTATCCTTGTCTTTCCACACTCAATGTTATCGGGTAAGTCGATCATTTTCATTGCCATTTCTCATTTCTCCTACACCGTTCTTGATGATGGCTAAAACTACAGTCATCAACTCGTAAAACACCGTGGCACAGTACGGCTCAATCATTGGTACACTAGGATTGTTGATGTACTGTATGGTCTGTAGTATCGTACTCTAGTCTACTCGACTTGCTATACTGTACAGTCTACAGGAGACGCAGTGGATGATGTTCATAGGAGCCGAATATATCAATGGCCAACTGTTAGTGTACTATAAGAACACCGTCGGCTGATTCAGTGACACACATCGGAATGGCGTACTTCTTACGGCTAATTTGAACCTAGAATAGAATATAATGTAATCGTCAAATGGATGATATCAATCAAGGCTTGATATCTTTCGTATTCTTGCACGCTCATCAATCTTTATGACGACTATCATGTCTTCATTATACTGTATTCAGAATAGAAAGAAAGAAAGAAAGAAAAACTACAAACGAG